CTCCAGACCTCGATCCGCGACGAGAATGGCGAACGCGATCTCTCGTTCGAGGGCTGGACGCCGTCCGCAGCGGCCATTGCCGGCAAGGTTGCCAGCAAGCGCTGATATCGCCACACTATGATCTTAAAGGGCTCGCTATTGCGGGCCCTTTTTAGTTTGCAGGGATCAGAGCGCTCTTTGGTCTCCTTAAGGAAAGAGTGGGCCGCTCGATCAGCGTCCATGACAGCAAGCCCATGGCGATGGTGATCGCCGCGGCCACCAGGGCCAGCGCCATGGCGTCGAACGCGTCATGGGCAAAGCGCCCGATCAGCATCTGCTGGATGGGCCAGGCATAGAGATAGATGCCGTATGAAATGTCTGTCCTGACCGACCAGCGTGTCAGGGCGCCAAAAGAAATGCCGCCCAGGCAAAGTGCCAGATAACCGACCGAGACGACGGAGGCCAGTGCGCCCAGCGGGGTAAAGAGCAGCGGCAGGGCCAACGCAAGTCCGGCCAGCGCGCCGCGCAGATCGAGACGGATGGCGTAGCGGTTGACAAAAGCCAGATGGCCCAGCGCAAAGCAGAAGCCGAAGCGCAACAGGCTGCCCACCGGATTGCCCTCGAGCGCCTGGGTAAATGTAGTGATCGTCAGGACCATACCCAGTGTGCCGGTGACGATGACGGCCCAATGTCGGCGGGGCCATAGCCCCGTGGCGGCAAAACCGGTAAATCCGATATAGGCGAGCAATTCGTATTTGACGGTCCAGAGCGGCGTGTTGATGTTGAACGGCTCCACACCGAAGGCAAAGACGCCGGGAAGCGCCGCTGTGTTGAACAGCAGCGGTACGGAGAAGGGATACGCGAGCGTTTCGGGCGCCGCAAAATAATCGCCGAGCGGCAGCGTGGTGTTGAGCGGTCCAATGACCCACGCAGTCACCATGGCCGCAACGATTAGACCCGGAAAGATGCGTATGGCCCGCGCCCATGCAAAGCGCACCGGATCGCGATTGAGCGCGTAGGACCGCGACAACATCAGCCCCGACAGGCAGAAGAACACGTTCACGGCGATCTGGCCCAGATTGTAGGTCGCGCCATCGAACGGTTCGAGATGCTCGCCGAACGGCAGCAGCAAAAAGCTGTGCGAGATGAACACGGCGGCGGCGGCGAACAAGCGCACGGCATTGAAGCTGTTCTGCTGGCTTTCGAGCAGTTCGCCGAGTGACCGATTGGGCATGGGGGGTATCGCCGCTTGTGAATGGTTGGCGGGCAAAATACGCCTATTGTCGGGGCACCAGGCATTACGGATGCGAATATGGTAAAAAATTGCAGCAGAGGATGAGCCCATGAATGAAATGGTGACCAGCCCGCCGCCCCGCTCGGGCATCGTGCAGTCGATCGATCGCGCCATGGCCATCCTCGAAGTTTTGGGCGAGGACGAAGAAGGCTACCGCCTGACCGATCTTGCGCGGCGCACCGGCCTTTCGGTTTCCACAGTCCACCGCCTGCTGACAACGCTCGAACAGAGGCGCTTCGTGCAGTTCGACCGCTCCGANNGTGCGCCAGCGCAATTTCGTGGCGCCCGCTCTGCCGCTGCTGCGCCGTCTGCGCGACCAGACGCGTGAAACGGTTAATCTCGGCATCGTCGATGATGGGGAGGTCGTGGTGCTGACCCAGGTTGAAAGCCGTGAAATCATGCGCGCGATTACCCGAGTCGGGGGCAGGGCCCCGGTGGCCAACTCGGGCATGGGCAAGGCGATCCTTGCCAGCTATCCCGACGCCGATATCGATGCGGCAATTGCCCGGCACGGGCTGCGCAAGGTGACGGAAAAGTCGATAACCAAAGCGGGCGCGCTCCGCTCCGACATCGCCGCCATCCGCGCGCGCGGCTATGCGCTCGACGATGAGGAGTTCGTTACCGGGCTCAGATGCGCCGCCGCCGTGGTTTACAACGCCCAGGCCGAAGCGCTGTGCGCGATCTCGATTTCAGGGCTCACGGTACGGGTCAGTGACGAACGACTGCATGTGCTCGGGCGCCTGATTGCCGAAGCCGCCAAGGAGTTGACGACAATTCTGGGCGGCCAGTTGCCGGCAAGATAGGGGTGGCGCCCGCCAGAGGCGCCACCCTTTTTATCAATCGCCCATCACGACGCCTTCGCGGCGCTTGTCAGCCGCGCCGATCAGGCCCTCGTCGGTCAGCCTTATGACGTGCAGGCCGGAGTTGAGGTTCGTGACGTTGACTTCGTGGCCGAGCGCTTCGAGCCCGGCGGCTAATTCGGCAGAGCCTTCACCCTCTTCGATATTGGTGCCGCCATTGAAATTGGTCACATGCGGCAGGTCGATGGCCTCTTGTGGATCCATGCCCCAATCGAGCATGGAGACCAGCGAAAGCGCGGTATAGTGGATGATCGCCGCGCCGCCGGGACTGCCGGTCAAAAGCACCGGAGCATCGTTCTCAAAGACAATGGTCGGAGCCATTGATGAGCGCGGACGCTTGCCGGGTTCGACCCGGTTGGC